CACTAAACAGGAAGTGGCTCATAACTAGGCCACACTTGCTCCGATCTGCCCCAAACTCGACATGCCGGATCACAGTCCTGCCCGGAGCAGGTTTGCCCCACACCCCGCCGTGCGCAAAGGCCGACAAGCGTAGGGCGAGGACCCGTCCATCGCCGCTTGCGGCTTTAATTAGTTGTTGTTTTTTTGTTTTTTTTTTTACATAAAGTCAAATGTGAAGGCAAACAAAATATAAACCTTATTAAAAACTCAGTCAGGTCTGTCTGATTTTGCTTTTAAGGCAGTCTGTATGAACCATATGATCCCTGTGAAGAAGGGAACTAAAAATTGGTCAGGGGTCACAGAGGCAAGTACGCTGCATTATTGTCTTCATCACGGATCCAGGACTATTCATCCTGTGGTGCTGTTTGTGTTGAATTCACTTTTAAAAATAACTTTTCTTTTAAAATATGTATTATTAGTGAATATAATTTTCAAATAGTGCTAAAGGGGCAAATTTAAGGTATAAACAAGGCTGTTGCTTCTGTACTGGGGACATGATGTGTGTGTCAAAACTTTTTCTGAAACCATATGTGAGAGTTGTGAAGTCATCAAGGTAGATCGGCATCATGTGAGTCATTTGTACTGGCTGATCATGAGATCGGTGCATTCACATCACTACAGGCCATGATTCTGCTTAGTCCCTGAATATGCTGTTTTCTGATTCAGCGTTATGGCTGACCTTAACCTTCATCCTACCGCCTGGACTCCCTGCAGACCACAAGAATGAACTGCTGTTAGAAACAACCGTCAGAGCATAACGTGTCTTTGGAAAACATAAATAACTCACTGATGTTGTCTAAAGCTATAATCTAGAGACACGTCTTTAACTGTTTTTCAGCATTGCATTGTGGTCAATTTAATTTGGCTTTTTTTTGACAAGAATTTAAGCATACATATTTTCATGTCAAAGTGAAAACAGATTCTACAATGAAATGTCAATTATGTAAAAAGATAAAACAAAAAGTAAAAGAAGTAATTGCATAAGCATCCACCCCCTTCAAGTAAATATTTTGTCGGCTGCTCAAGCTCTGTCAGGTTCCAAAAGGATTGTGAGTGAACAGCCCTTGTCAAGTCCAGTCACAAATTCTTGGTTGGATTGAGGTCTGGGCTCTGACTCAGCCTCTCCACAACATTCATCTTGTTGTCTTTAAAGCGTTTCTGTGTGGCTTTAGCTGTGTGCTTTGGGGCATTGTTTTGCTGGAAAACAAATCTCTCAAGTCGCAGTTCTCTTGCAGACTGCATCAGGTTGTCCTAAAGAATGTCCCTATACGTTTGCTGCACTCATTGTACTCTTTACCTTAACAAGCCTCCCAGGGCCTGCTGCCAAGAAGCATCTCCACATCATGATGCTGCCACCACCATGCGTCACAGTGCGGATGGTGTGTTTGTGGTCATGTTTGGTGTCCGCCAATCATTGCCAACATCTGGTCTGGTGGTGCAAAAGTTTGATTTTATGTTTTATCAAACCAAACAACCTTCATCCAGTTGACTTCAGAGTCTCTGATGCTTTTTGATTAACTCTAGTTGAGAAAATAATATGAGCTTTTTTCAACAGTGGATTTCTCGTTGCCACTCTCGCATTAAGTCTAATGAAGAAAGGGCAACAGTTGTGTGTGCACAGTCTCTCCTATCTACAATTTACATTCATTAGAAATGTGCCGTCACTTTGATATTTATTGGCAACGTCATGAAAAATTGGGATGATGAACCAAGTGGCTGTAAGAAAGGACAGAAAGTATATCTTTGGGGTGTGCAGGTACCCCGGTCGGTAGGATAAACGTTAAATGCACTATATTTGGGAAGACAACAATCTTACACCATAAGAGTAATCCAACAAAGGCCACATGATTGATTCAGAAGCTGAGACTGATTTGCTCTCTTTGATTATTTATCTCGTCAATGTCATGTTTTTGTCGTACAAATGTATTTACTCTGTGAAACCCTCACAGGTCTCCAAGGCGATCTGGTTTGACAACATCTCTTTAATTAAAGATCAAAGCCACAGGAATTGATAGTTCAAGAATGCTGCATTAATTCTACATGTGTTCATTTGTTTAGTTTGTTTGTCAGAAAAATGTCAAACTGTCTGGTTCCCCAAAGACTCTTATTAGTGTGATATGAGGCAGACAAAACACACCAGGCAAGAAATAAGTCAGTGCAGCCAGTAACAGAGACGTGTGGCAGGTAGACCCAAACTCAACAGTGATTGGTATCATCGCGCTTCATCGGCTGACTCCTTAAAGTCTAACTTTAGCTCTGTGAAGGGCATCGTGTGTGTACAAGGTCACACATGGTCAGAATTAATCTCGGTGAGCAAACAGTCTGGCCCGGGAAGCCTCAGCATGGGGTTTATCTGTGTATACTCATGCTAACGCCTCTGTCAACAGTCAACTTTTACAAGCTCTGGCAGGTTTGTTGTGCTTTGGTAGAGCTGCCAGCTTCCCAATTAAGAGCTCTGCCAATATCCTTCAAACCAACAGAAGGCTGTAGGCCTTATTAGTTCATTAATAAGAGGAATACATTTGTGCAGCGTGTCAAATGTTTTGGAACTCCACCATGAAGACCTTTTATTTTTCCCTTCTTCCATGTCTTCTGGGTGTCAAATGTTCCGGTCTGTTCATCATATGGACCTTGGATGACACGTATCCTATGACTATAAATGAAGCTCTGTGAAAATTTTTTGTATTTTTTTTCCCACATGAATGGCGACGTCCTTGGTTTCCGCTAGAGACCTTGTTGCGTTTTATCTCCAGTCACCCATCTTAGTTCACCTAAATAGCCCAAAAAAGACTTAAAATGTTGAACACCTGAGCGACAAAGTGTGACATGCTGCTGTTTAATGATGGGATGCTTAATGTTTGGCTTCATCAGTCATTTTTACATTTTGTCTGTTGTATGTTTTACATCAAAATGATCTCAGTCTAATTAAGTGCAAGTCAAACACAACACACAACCAGGAAAAGACAATATGAGTAGAGGGAAACTCGACCCCTCTTTGAGTTACTTTGCTAAAGGATGAAAATGAACGTCTGCTGAAACCCGACGAACATATCTTTGAAAGTTCTGAATTATTACGAAAAGAGTATGATTACAGATTTAACATCTGATAACGAATCTCTGAAAAGAGTTCACACATTTACAGAACACACAAGTTTCTGAATTTTTCTGTGTTCCCACTGAATTATTTAAAGCTTTCTGTTGAAGAGATGATTACTTTCAGTCTCAAAACTATGCAAATCACAGAGAGGGCGCATAGTCTGTTGTGATATCCTCGTGGCTAAATGCGGTGTGATCTATAAGGCAAAAATCCTGACAGTGGGATGAAATGATGTCGGAACTGATTTTTCTTAGATGACAAATGGCGGAGTTGTGGACATTGAAGCGCCTGGCTACACCCATCCAGCATCCAGTATGCTAATATTCCATCTCTCTGTCTTTCCTGTGGCATCGCGTCATTTGAATAAAGCTGCTTTTATAGTCGTTGGTCAAAGGAGTGTCTGTGTACCGGTCACGCTGATCTGATCATTGTCCTTTAAAGTCACACCTGACTGGACTGTGGATTACCTCAGCGTTGGAGAATTTATCACCAGTTACACAGCTCCAAAACTTTTTTTGAGTTTTGTGCTTCCCTTTCTTGTCTGCGACACTAGGTCATGCATCCAAAAAAATAAAAAGTTGTGCCTGTCAAAACCCTGACAGCTAAAGAAATCTGTTGCTGCCTCTGTTGCTTTCTTGTCATTACCAAAAAAAAAAAAAAACATTTTTGCTCAGGGCACCAAATCTTTTGGGCTTTGCTTTACTGTTTCTAAGAAATAAGCCTGTTTATCTTTCAGCAGTGACAAGATAATGAATACTGCTTTGTCCACTCCCCTATCTGCTGTGTAATGATCCGTATCATGTTTGATAACGGGTTGAGAAAAATGGTTCAGAACCACAAGATAACGATATTCCGCACAAAGTTGTTGAAACTGTCAATTATGGGCTGCGTGCAGACAAAATAGGGAATATTTGTTGTTGCTTGAAAGTGAGAAGAAGAAGAAGAAAAGGGCATGTGATTTCCTTTCCTCTGCATGTCCTCATCTGCCTCAAAAACAGGTGTGTGAACTATTTTGGAAATCTTGTCCTGATTTTCATGGACGGACACTATTTTGTCCTCCAGTCATCTGGAATGTAAAGTGTAGTCAAATATTTGCACAAGTTCTGCAAACCCGTTGCAGAAAAATAGTTTTTCCTCTTCGTTTAATCACACAAACTTACTGCAAACAATGACTCCAGAGTTATTTTCAGGAATATTTATTGTCTTTTCCTCCATTGCTCATGGCTCCCCAGCATTTCGTGTCAAACCATAACCAAAAGATAACATTCTTCATTGACTATTCAGTGCTCAGCAGCGCCATGTGTTTCCTGCGCGTGACAAGATAATTTAAATTTGATGGCATTTGCTGGTGTTGCGAGCATCTGTTGCAGTCAGAAGACAAACATCCCTGTTTTTTGTTTTTTTTTTGTTTCGTTTTTTAATATGACACATGCTGCATTTTGTTTCCGCAGGACTACAACGACGAGATCAGACAGGAGCAACTGAGAGAGCTATCCCTGTTGAACGGCTCTGACGAGTCGAGCAGAGGGAGGAGCGCGCAGGCGAGGAGTGTGCGACCCACAACGACAACAATATCCACACGGTAAAGTGCTAATTACAGCTGTGTAAAAATAACCGGGTAGCAGTTGGTGTGTGACAGAGAGAGTTAAGACTTCTGGGAGATTTAAAAAAAAAAAAAAAAAAACAGTGTGACCATTCTGACTTCTGCTGCAAAGGTTTAAGCTTGGTCATGAAGTCAAACTGATGGATTCAAAATGTGTGTTTTTTTTCCTCTTACTGGTTAAAAATTCAGGTTTTGGTTGCACGTAGGCTGAAATCAACATCATAAGTTGTTTTTATCTCTCATTTTCTTGAACGTAAGCACCAATCAGATACTTATTTTGACATAACTGGATGGAGTCTGCGATTCTGGAGAAAGATTGATATTTAGCAGGTTTTTACATAAATGAGATCAGTTTCAGATTTACAGCCAATCTTGCTCCTATAACCCTTTTTTTCCCTCCGTCTCCTCTACCTTTATCTCTGTCGAATGTGCACAAGAGCAAACGTGCACTCGACTTGCTGGAATAAAGTTGAGTGAATCAGTCGCTTTGTTTTTCTTCCTTCTACATAGCCGGGGCTGTGTGTAAGGATCAGATATTTTGTGTTGCACACACAGGATGGATAGCAGACAGTGAGGAGATATCAGCTGAACAAGATTCACAACTGAGAACATAGTCTGTGATTTTAATATATTTGAAGAATCCCTTCTGAATTCTGAAAATACAGCGTCGACAATCGAAAAGTGCAAACTGAGAGCACTGTGTTTATTACTTGTGGATTAATCAAATGGTCAAAGTTTGGAGAATAAGAGGACTAAATAGAGCTCCTGCAAAGCCAAAGAAGACTGTTGATGAGGAGTCAACCAATCTTCATGTATAAAAACTATTGAGTTTCATTTTAATCTAGCTATCATCTAGAGAGAGTCAATCCTCCTTGACTTGACACACATTTGCAGTATGATGTGTCATTTTGTTCTCTTCTGGGTAATTTAGAACTTTGAGTCGTGCGATCAACCAAAAAGTGTTTCAATAATAAAAAAAAGGAAGCATGCACCTTCATGGTGAATTATTTCACTTGCACATATGTCATTATTTTATGCAAAGTTCTCTTCCTCAGGTTGTAGTTTATAGTTCTAACCATTATTTTGATTGCCAATTTTATGTCATCTTCATAATTCACACATTGTTTCTGCGTATTACAGCTCGGAGGGATTCTAGGACTCTAGGCAGGACCTGAAAAAACTGAATGTTACAGGGAATTTGATTGGCTTTCTATGTATGCAGCTGCTGGTGTGAAGCACCTTCCCTCTGCGAGCCTCCTTTTAAGTTCGGTTTTACAGCAAATTGTCCATAATCTACCTGAGCCGTGGCAGTCCCCCAGGAGTAAGCAGGTACAGTGTGCCATGACAGCCTGGCCTCATTCAGGCAGCACATATAGACGAGCTAAATCCAGCAGCAACATGGGACGCACTCGATTTAAAGTCACCACCGCCACTCCTCTTTCCCTGATTTTCTCCTTATGGCACAACGATAAGCAATTATTGTAAATCTCCATGAAAATTATGCACCAGTAATTCTCCTTTGACTGTCTGTATTTTTGGACCACAATGGGTTGCTACCTGGTGAAGGATGAGCCAGAGGAAGAAAAAGGTGTCCTAGCCCACCTACATCATGCTGTTAAAATGTAAGTTAGCAGGAAATAGACAGCTTTGCGATGCTAAATCCATCCTGCAGTCCCTGCGGTATCCCTACAGTCCAGCTGCTGGGCAGTCGCACTTCAATAAAAAGAAACAAGCTACCTTAAATTCCTCATGTCTGCCGCAGTCCTCTGGCCTTTGATGTGTCTGTGAGTGCATGCCAAAGAACTGTTTGCTCTCTTTGAAAACTATACCGGTCTGCCCACAGATTGAGAGTAATCAGTAGTTTCAGGCAGATGCGATTTTGTACAAACGCAGACGTGGCACCGCTCCATAAACCATGTTGCATCCCACAGGCATGTTTGCAGAGCAGAGGAAGATAAAAGTGACACTCTTTAGCTGTAAGATCATTGCGAGATCTACCTCAGTGTCAGTGTTTATCTTGTGTTTCACCCCAGCACGCCGTATGACAACCACCAACTGAGACAGCCGGCACACATGGAGCGATAAGAGGGATTTAACAGATTTCTTAATGTCTTAATTCCACTTTCTCCCTAAAATCACTGCTTACATGCAAATGTTGCGCAGCACGATGATCTTCTTGTTTTGCCCCCACCAGAGGCCAGAGAGGTGCAGGAAGGAGCGCAGCAGCACCTCGGGGGACAGCGACGGCGGCGCACAGCAAACTTCCATCGACGGTTGTGACGAGGGAGGTGCAAGCTCCCCGAGCCAGGGGGACGGCAGCGAGCGGCGGATACAGACCCCCGCTGTTAGCAGTCACACACGAATCATACGACGACTACGTAAGTCCAATCCTCTTTGCAAGCACACTGAAAACTATATCTGATAGTAATTTTACTTGAACTGTGTGTAAATCGCTTCATTTAATCCCCTGTCACGTGGTGTGGATGAGTCTGGCTTTGCGGTGAGGCAGAGAATTCTGGGATGGTGTTTGAAAAGTGAAGGCAAGCAAGAAACTATTATGATATATACAGTCGGGACTCGAGAATCCGACACTAAATGTAAAACCTTCTTTTATGTCGGATAGCAAGGCTGTCGGATTGTCAAGATGGAGGTCAAGATACAAGGAGGGCTTGATGCTTGAAGGGTCATTTGTTGTTAATTATTGTTCATAGTCGTTATAATAACTAGTAGGGCTGGTCCGATTAGCACCTTCTGGTCTCTGGATATTCAGGCCCCAATAATGATGAATATCCGGGTGAGCGCTCCAACGGGGTGGAAGTGGTCGGAACACACAGGCAGTACTTGGCTGCTGATGCCAATTTAGTTAGCGGTCACAGTTTTGTTTCCACCATCAGTGGCAGCGGGGGAGTGGCAGATACGCTCCACCGTTACCATCCGTGTTTACTTCCGTAAACACTGAGCACTCGCTGTGTGTGACGTCGTTGTGTTCTCTTTTGCACATGCGGGACACTTTTGGGCCGTATAAAGTTCACACAGGAGATCACATACAAGTGGCATTTAATTGGAAATGTGAACGAACTCGAAAAAAATCGGATTTCACAAAAGAATCCGAATTGAGCATTAAGTCCTGCAGTGTGAACGTAGCCAATCTGTCGGATTGTTAAGTCAGATAATACGTCGTTGTCCTTATTTGTGACATAAAATGTCACATCGGAGCCAGAATCCAAGGCTGTCGGTATGTTAAGGCTGTTTTTAATGGGTTCCGTTTGTATTTCCTAAAAACCTGTCGGATAGCAAAGTTTGTGGATTGTTAAGGGTCGGATTATCGAGCCACGACTGTATATGAAGAGTTCATTTGCAAAAACAGATAACTCCATTTTTGTAGATTTTCAGAAAACTTATTTTTTTGTTGTTCACTTGAGATAATATCAATCAAACTGAAGCTGACTGGATTTGACTCAGTAGAAATAACATGACAAAAATAGAGATAACTTAAGTTTGATTGATATGTCTCAGGTAGACGATAGAAAAGTGGGTTTTCTGAATGTTTGTAAAGATGTTATCTGTTTCTGTCTCTTCATATATTGTTTTTGTCATTTTCAGTTTTGAAGTACATGCTATCATTTCAAATCATCTAGAAAAGCATCAGTTTCTGGGGTTTTTTTCAGCATAATTTAAAAAATCACCTTCCTTTAGTTAAAAGTTAATTAGGATAAGAAATTAATTACAGTAAACACAGTCCGATGCACTTTTAAGCTGACAATAATTTCTCCTTTTCTTTTGCCAAACATTTTAATAGCACAGCCTGTTTCCCCGGTGTTTTTTCTGCCCATATTGTCATCCAATTTATGTTGCCGTTCTGATATGAAGATGAATAATGAGCTTAACAGAACATCCCACAACAATTTATTGTGCCTGCACCTATACATCCTATTTGTTGCCACTGTCACAGTTTTGCTCTACAGATGAGACAGTCTGCTATGGAACTGTTTATTTTCCCTGAACATAAAAAAACAAAAAGTCAAGTGTCTTTCACTGTACAGCCTGATTTCTCAGGTTTGGCCATGATATATCATGTTGATGTGTGTCAACCTTAAACTCATTATGCGATGACATATCTTCATCACCGTACTCTGACAATCACTGTCTACTTTTTCAATATAGTGATATTGATGTTTCTAAACTGTTTCTTCTATTTTTAATTTGTTAAAATACTTTTCCTGCAAGTATTTTGCATATTTTATTTAGATTTCTGGATAAAGCTTGACCCTCGGAAACCCAAAACCTACCGACAGGTTTGAAAGACACGTTATCTTTGAGATAAATTGCCAAAATTACACCATTTATCAGAGCCAAAGGGGGGAAAAAAGTCTGCTTTTCAACTTCTGACAGTTTTTGAGGTACTTATCTGCTGTTCCATCTGAGAAATTAACTAAACCTAAGTTTAAAATCACAATATCTCATCAAATTCACTTTATTCTACTCATTTAAACTTTTGCCAGAAATACACAATTTGCACTAAAAGGATTCTGTCAAAAATACAGTTTTCTGTGCTCCTCAGCACAACGGTGAAGCCAACAGTGAGCTGTGAGCAACAAGCACAGCACAAGAATGCAAGGACTTGAAAGACGAAACGCAAGCCGGGGTTAAAAACAAAAAAAAAGAAAGCAACCAAGAAAAAGGCCAAAAGAAAAAAAAGCAAGTTAACAACAATGGTAAAAACCGGGGGCAACGTTGAAAGGCAAGAAATTAAAATGCAAGGAAAAAATGAGCCTACAAAGAATAAAAATGTGACGGGAACAGGAGAGTTAAAGAGTTCTTGGTCTTGCCCTTAACCCCTCAACACTCACTGGGCCGGGCACAGGCAAAGCAACAATACAGCCGCTGTATTTTGAATGGCACTGACCCGTTCTGACTTACCATTTGAAAGCACAGAGCGTCATGATTCATAAGGTGTAATCTGTTTTCGGATACCAACACCAGAGCAACAGCGGCAGCAGCAATAGTTCCTTACTTTGTAATGAGAGCGGGCGCACAGCTGACAACGGCAGTGTTTTACTTTCCTCTCGTCTACAGTGCTGCGCCACAAGAGTCCAAAAAACAAAATGCTTCTGGGCTTTTTCAGTAAAAAGGGGGATGGATGTTGAGGAGTTAAGGCACCACAGGATGCTTTAAGAGGCACATTATTAGATAACAGACTGAAATCCAGGAGTTAAGAGTTTCCACAAAGTGTTGACCTTCTGAAAAGGAAAAGGGATGTGCAAAGAAAAATGTGATTTTGGTCACTTTTGCATTAAGTATGTCTGAACTAGTTGTCGGTGCTTTTTAAGTCAGTGCCTCCGTAGAGTTCTCTGACAGCATGACTGGTAATGGCAGGTATTATTGTCCTTTGGCGGGAAGAAACAAACCCAGGAATCTCTGCATTGTTCATCGCTGCACTATTAACATGCAAAGAGACACTACTCCACTTAGAGGTGCAGTTAGTGCCTTGACCGATGGCCCGTAAAATCTTTCATATCACTTAAAGTAACTTGGGGATCCATATCAAAAAAAAAAAAAAAAAAAAAAAAAAAAAAAAACAATTCAAGGCCTTCGTTAAAAGCGTGCTCGTCCTCAGATCTCAGGAAATTCTCAAGGTCATTTTGAAAAGACGACACAAGGTGAGCTCTAAGTTTCATCCAAATGAAAAAAGGCAACACTTTTACCAGTCTATTTCCTCAGAGCCTTCCTGCTAAGAAAAGCCCCCATGTGTGCTGGCAATTGAAGATTGGGCTGTCTGCATGGGGAAATGCACAAGCGCAGTCTCATTACCAAACCAAATTGAGTTCTGATGTAGAGCCTGTGTATTTCTGAGCAGTGAAAAAGCCAGGCATTTCTTCTCTTTGTAATTGGAGGTTGGGAAGGAGGATGGGAGCACAGAGACTAGGGGATTATGGAAAGATGAGTTTGTCCTGAACATTCTCTTCCCTCATATCTCACTTTGCTGTTTTTTCTTTTTTTCTTTTTCTACTACATTACACAATTTTCTTTAAACGTGTTTCCAGATTGTAGCGAGAGACCTCTTTATACGAAGGTCCGGCTTTGTTTGTTTGCTTTTTTTTTTTTTTTTCATCCGCCGAGTCTACAAGGTGCTGTATTGCTTGTTGTTATTTCCGTACAAGAGTCCTGCAATGTACAATTTACAGAAACACAATCATAGATCAGCAGCAGAAGATGCGTTCTGTTTTTTTCTTGCTACGCCTTGTGTTTGTCTTTAGGAGGAAAAAAAATAGTCTGCATGAGTATTGTGTAAATTCTCCGGAGACTGCTGATTGATGGATTCTGTCAAAGTGTCAGTCTGTCTCATAAAAGCGATACGGTGAGAATGTCCATAATTGTACCTAATCGAGGGTGGTATTGATTTAAAACTTCGAAGGGAAGCGTGAGGAAGCCGGTGCTTATCATGTGTCATTGTTGGCTTTATAATTTATGAACGTAATGTTTTCGCTTTATCTTTCGCCTGCGAATCTCACCTTCCTGTATTCTTTACACCAGATTTATTTATTTATTTTTAATGTCTTCACAGATTGGAGCTGTTTGTGCATTGACTTTTAGCTGGTGCATTTTTTTTTTCTTTTTATTGTCAGCAAATCTCAGAGCGAACAGAGAACTGATCCTACTAACAAGTACTGTCTGTGCAGCCAAAGCTTAATATCTTATTCTTCCGTGCCATGGAGCTCCGCTGCTGCCCAGAAGAACACCTTTACTCCTTCACTACGATGAACACTTGTTTAAATGGCTTATTTTCAGTCAATCCCACATGCACTACCCGGCTGCCACGCTCACTGGAGCACCAACTGTGTACTAATGCACAGTCTCCAACAAAAACACTGTTTATTCCAGTTTGAGTTACGCCTCAGTGCCCCCAAAAAAAACCTGAAACTGTGTATTTGTGACATGTTTGTATAGATGCATTGAAAATAAACTGACTCAGGGGCAACAGAAGAGCCTTCGATAGGTTCTGGAAGTTCTTGAAAAATACAAGACAGGCTAGTAAATAGCTGGTTGACAAACTGTTCTTGACAAACAACACTTTCCAATTTGCCTCTCGGTCACCTATTTACACGCAAGGAGGATGCTTCAATTCGTGGATGGCCCACTCTCCTGAGTCTCCGCACTTTAGGAATTTATTAGGCATCAGAAGCGTAACCTTTACACAGCGTAAAATATGTTTATCAAATAAAATGAAAAGAATAACAGCGATCCATCAGTGGCGCGAGTAAAACCTTGATGCAGCGACTGTTTTTCTTTCAGTTTAGAGGTTTTCCTTTTACCCACTGCTGTAGTCCGCACAACCAGTTACTGATATCACTGCACATGAAGAATTTGTTGGCAAAAA